TTTGTTTTTTGTAGTAACTATGCATAGATTTGACGTGTATTCTGAGGTGATTCTAGGTCTGTTTATCTTGATCACGTGATTAATTTACATCGCAGCATATCTTGGAAAAAACCCAGTAATTGCTTTGGTTTAATAAGCATCTCACAAATCATTCACCTAGTGTGGGTGGACCATTCCGAAGTTTTTCAGCATCTTACAAAAGGAAAGGTCCTTCCTTCACTTTCCTCTGCACTAAAGTTCAAATAGTTGTGATAGATAGTGAGACTGTCATTCCTGCAAAGGTATCTGTTATTCCATGTTTCCTTATTTCTGTTCTTGTAATTAGGCTTCAGCTATTTAACAGACGCAGACACAGAACTCTTGTAAGGTGTGCTTTGCTGGAGGTCTCATTTTGAAAAAGAAAAAGCCTGATTTTCTGCTTCCAGCTGTTTGGCATGAGCGCTGGTTTTGGTGAGGGAAGTTGTGCATCTACCAGCTCAGCTGCTTCACGCTGAAACTCCTGGATTCTGTGGACCTCTCTGGGGAACACCTGGTGACTTTTACTCTCAACTGTGTTTTGGAGTCTCTGGTTTCTGGTACTGCTCCTGTGTGTTGCTGGAAGAGAATGTGTGAAGAACAGATGGCCCTGAGTCATCTCCCGTTTTGCAGAGTCCTACATAGGAATCTTTTCTGTCCACATCTATGCCCTTGCTCTTCTTTCACGGGGAGATCCAAGAAGGCATCAGTTCTAGAACTTGACGTAGTGATTGGTGTTTTTTTTTTTAAGCTCCTCTCCACATACAGCAATCTAGATCTCTGAATCAGGATCCTTACATGGTTTTCCAGAGCAGACGTTGTATAAATGCTGTACACTTAAAAATGTGACTGTGTGTAGATGCAGGCATTGCAGGCTTATCTTTGCTTCTGGGAGACTTGAGTAATACATTTCCATTGACATAGTGAAATCTGCATTTGAAGGAATTAGTTGCAGGCTCCTGCTTATGCAAAAGTGGTGGGAGGAAAAACTATTGGCTATTGCTGTTAACCTCATCCACAGAGACTGGGAGTTTGAGCACTTAGGGTGCAAATGGAAAAAAAAAAAAGAACTTTTTTTTTTACATAAGCCTTTGAAATTTTTGGTTGCATTTGCTGACTCAGAAATACTTGTTTGTAATTGTTATTGAGTCATGTACTCCTTTATTGATCCTTCAATCTCAATATCTCTTGGTTCTTCTCAGTCTCTTTCTTGTGAGCCCCGGTAAGGAATTGTTCCACCACTGGTGATTTCAGAGGTATTTGAGGACATTGAGTAAAACCTCTCAGGAGTACCCAATCCTGATCCTTTGCAAGGAACCCTTGTGTCACTACAATCGGAATAATCTCTCTTTATTATGGTCAGATTAACAAAGGTAATTCATATTCTTACTCTGACAGCTCCTTTAATGCTATGGAATAGGATGCAAAGCAATAACTTATGCAGATTGTCGACTTCAAGTCATGTTTTCTTAAGCAACAATGTATTCCCTTAAGCAGTTGGCAGCCTGCTGTTCCTGAAGGCATTGGTAACTTGCACTTAAGCAGTTGGCAGCCTGCTGTTCCTGAAGATCTGAGATCAGATTTTGCTCCTGGGAAGGTACTGGTCCATGGAATCGCCAGTTTGCCAAGGAGTCCTGCTACTGCTGGTGCTAGAGGAGGGAAGCAATGCCTAAGCTAATGGTGAAAAGACACAATGTTTGTTCTTTCCTGCCCATAATTTTCAACAGTTCTTTTGAGAACATGATGTTGAAGAAATCCCTTTAAGATACGAGGGAGCCAAATCAACCACAAGGTATGGAGACTGTGGGTTTGACAAGGCTGCCTGCTGCTCACACTCTATTCCTTAGGATAGGATTTTGCATGTCCTGCTCCAGGTGTATTATTAGATTTATCTATAGATTTTTTGACATCACCATCACATAAGTCTTTGTGATGAGTATCCTCATATATTTTAATCAGATTTGTTCTGAAATTTTCACTAGCTCCTACTCACCTTCTGTCTTTGCTAGTTGCCATAGCCCCCTGCAGAGCATAATGACCATAGTCATTATGTGTGAAAGAAATTCACAGAATTGTCAGATTTGGAAGGGACCTCTAGAGATCATCTAATCCAACTCCCCTGCTAAAGCAGGATCCCCTATAGCACATTCCACAGGACTGTATCCAGGTGGGTATTTAATATCTCCAGAGAAGGAGACTCCACAACCTCCCTGATCAGCCTGGTCCAGTGCTTTGTCACCCTCATAGTAAAGAAGTTTTCCATCATGTTCAGGTGGAACTTCGTGTGTTCCAGCTTGTTCCCACTGCCCCTTGGCCTGTCACTGGGCACCACCAAAGAGTCTGTCTCCATCCTCCTTACACCCAGCCTTTAGATACTGATAGACATTGATGAGTTCTCCTCCCAGTCTTCTCCGGGCTAAAGAGTCTCAGCTTTCTCAGCCTTTCCTCAGAAGGAAGATGCTCCAATCCACCAGTCATCTTTGTTGCCCTTTGCTGGACTCTTTCTAGTAGTTCCCTGTCTTTCTTGAACTGGGGAGCCCAGAACTAGATGTAGTATTCCAGGTGTGGCCTCACCAGGGCCAGAGTACAGGAGGAGAATGACCTCTCTTGACCACACTCTTCCTTATGCACCCCAGGATTCCATTTGCCTTGGCCACAAGGGCACATTGCTGGGTCATGGATAATTTACAGTCTACCAGGACTCCCAGATGCTTCTTCTCGGACCTGCTTTCCAGCAGGTCTACCCCTAACCTATATTGGTGTGGGACCCTACACTTGCCCTTTTTATACCTCACAGCTTATTGATTCCTAACAGATTAGCACAGTATTATTATAAATAAATAAGTTACCAAACAGTGTTTTGCTGGGCTAGAAATGTTCTTGAAGCCTCTGAAATTTTCCCAGCATGGCTTGCACATCCCAGCTGCATGCAGGATGCATAACTTCAGGATCACCTCACTTGTATCTGGTACAGTTATGTCTCATTGAATATCTTGCTAGTAAAAGTAGCCCCAAGACAGGTATTTTAAGTATTAAAAAGACTCTTTGATGATCTCAGGCCTTTGTTAAAGCTTCAGTAATTTTTCTTGCTAATCTTGGAGGTTAAAAACGCTGCCTGTTGATGAAGGAATGTCTTGTCTCTGTGTTTATTTCTTGCTATGAAAAAAATGTGTTGGAAAAAGAAAAAAAGAATAGAAATCTTAGCTTATGCTTCAGTGGTGCCACTTCCTCATGTGTTTCCCTTCATTTTCTGGCACCCATTGAAGGAACTCCTACTTTTCTTGTTCATAATGTGTTTAGCAGCTTTGTTCCACTGTTTAGTCATGAGTGGAGACCCTGCTGCCATAGGTGGAGTGGGCAAATTATGACTTACAGGGAAGGCTGCCAGAGAAAATTAAATTTTTAACTGTTCTTTCCACGTTATCAAGTTGGGACTGGTCCTTGACTTTTTAATAGGGTTCCTAGTGGTCTCAGGATCTATCCATAACCACCTGACTGCCAGTTACTTGCAAATGTCAGTACTCCCAGCATTGCAGAAGAGCCTTGCCACACCAAGGAACACTGGGAGGTTTGAGATTGGCTGTGCTAGATGGTACGTATCTAAACATAGGAATACACACTGCACTTATATCTCACCCCTGTGCAGGGGATAGAGCAGGCACAGCATTCATTTCAGCAGTGGTCCAGCACAATGCAGCTGTGGGTATCAAGGCTTCCCTGGGATGAGGCTGTAGCTGAGCATCCTTCAGGAGCTGCTGCTTTAGTGCTGTGGAGCAGATTTGCTGTGCTCTCCCTGTAGCTGGGTGCAGGGGTATGAAAGTATCCTGAAAACACTGGGCAAGTGGCTTCTTGGTTTTCAGTTAATAGTCAAGTGCACCAGTTCTAGAAGAGAAATTGTTATTATCTTAATTTATGTTGCCTCCTGATGACTTTAAAAAAAATTAGCTTCCTTGGTTGCTCAGTAGAACATAGCATTTAGCATGACAGAGTCTCATGCAAAATCCAGTTAAGCTGCTGAATAATTGTTGCTGAAGTTGCCCTTAGAGCTGCTGTGTATAGGAGGGGAAATGCTTTCAAACTTATTTGTTTGCTGACTTACTTTCTTCACACCCTGGCAGCCAGAGAAGGGTGCTGTCACTGGTGGAGGGTAAGGACCAAGGGGCATATAGTGAAATGAGCAGGAAGTGTTAAGTCAGTCTCATGAGTGTCTTGGAAGCAGTCATAGATGCTGCAGGGTGCAGCCTGTGATGTTCCCTGAGCCCTGCTTGTCTGCTGTGAGATCCATTTATGTTATAGCTGCTTTGTGGTCAGTATCTCAGTGGTCAGTTTGTTATGGATTTTAACACAGAAGTACAGCATGGTCGAGGACTTGAATAATTTAGGATTGTGTGGCAGTTCAAGGTTTCTTGAGCATAGTTCTAGCTCCAGCTCTTGGTACAAATTAGCTTCCTAGTGGTTTGTTCAGTTTTTGTGGTGGTGGTTTTTTTGAGATAGCTTGCTTTGTTGTTAGGGAAAAAATGCAGGATGAGAAGTCTTGTTGGAAGAATGCTTCCTGCAAACTGTGTGCTCAAGAGCAGCATGAGCTACAGAATTTTTGCTGGTTGGTTCACTGACATTTAGCACAGAGGTGGATTACTTTAAATAAGTGTTTTGGATACAACAGAACTCAATAATTATGCTTATCTAGTGAAAATATATGCTGTAAGCCAAATAAAATATAAATGCATGGTGTACTTAGGAAAAAAAAAAATCTAACCTGGCACGAAACATCGATGTACAAGGTATTTTAATGTATTGACTCCTCCTGTGGGTGTTTCTGCTACAAAAGAAAACCTCAACAAGTACTTCCACTGTTTTAGACCCTTGTATGTATCTCAGTTGCTCTTTGTGTTGTCAGAGAATGAACAGTTGAGAATGCAGAGCTGATGGCTGTGTTCAGTCCTCTAAATAGTTTGTTGTTTTTTTGCTGTTTTTTGTAGGCTCGAAATGTCAACACGGGTGAGCTAGCAGCAATTAAAGTAATAAAACTAGAACCAGGTAAGTGTTTCTTAGCTGAAATAGGCCAGAGAAACTACATATTTTCATGCTGAAAATACAATTGTACAAAATCAGTTGAGTCTACTTGCTGAAAAAAGGGATAATTGTTGCCTTTTAGTGTAGGACAAAATATACTGTTCTAAAAAAAACCCAACCAATGAACAAAAAACCAAGCATGACAAGCAGTATGTGTGAGAAAAAAAATGTAACTGGAGAACACTTACAGGAAAGCTGATTAAAATTTCAGTGAGAGAAGTTGGTTTGTTTTTTTAAATACTATGTTTTCAACCACTGTGATACAAGCCCATGCATAAAACTAAAGAAATAAGGGGGACAGCAATGCAGAAAAGAGAGCTGGATAGAGCAATAATAAGAAGGAAGAGTGTAGTAATAGATGAGCATTAGTATATGGGAATTGAGTACGTCTTCTGAAATTCTCATGAAGTCTCTGATTAGGCCTTCATGGTATGCTAGATTTATGCTTGAACTGTGCTTATGTTGCAGTTTCACAAAGTACATAAGCTCTACAGACCAGTTATCAGCCTGCAAGTGCTGTTCTATTAAAACTGCTACATTTGTTGAACAAGAGTACAGTAATCTGGGGAGTAAAATATCCAGGCTGTTTGTTTAACTCATAACTCTTAGTGTTCTATTTCAAGATTTAATGTCTGAGTGGGGGAGTATTTTAACTCTTACCTTGTTTGATCCTTAAGGTCCATGCAGACAAGAAGGGAAAGAAATTGGTACTTTCTTCCACTTCTCTTACAATTCTGGAAGTGTGGGTTGTACTGAGCAGGACTCTGGGAATTGTGCTATGTGCATTATGTGACCTGTGGTCAGAGCCTGGGGATGCACTGCAGCTGCGGTAGATGCCCTCATAGTGTGCTGATGGGGATAGCTACTGGCATCTTGCAGTTAAATGTTCTTGGCAGCCTTTGGATATGTGGGTGATGTACAGAGAACACACTTCAGCTACCTGGTTTGCTCAGGGAGCTCGGTTTCTCTGTGTAGTTGTTGCTTCCAGTTGCAGTAGAGGCTTGAATCTCAGCTTCAGATGGGCAGCATCCACATTCCAGAACTGTGGCTCTGGCTATCTTTGTAAGCAGATTTGGTAACAGTTTAAGGAGTAAGGATTAAGTATGCTCTGGCACTTACTCTGTAGCTCATGCTACTTGAATATTTTGGATTAAATGAAAACACTGGTCAAATACTGGAAAAATCATGTCCTTTCACAGAGATAACTGTCTGCATGACATACCACATTATGACAAGAAATTTAAGAGAAACCTGAGTGTAAGATACCAAACTGCAAAAGAGCATTTGACATGTATTTCTTTAAAAAATAATTTAAAAGGCTGTCAGGTACCTGTTACCATCATTCTCTTACAGTTGCTACTTTTTTTGCCTTCTGTCCTTCACATACCTACAAAATCCCTGTACAACAGTCCCAAAACAAAAATGCCTCTGTTGGGTTTTTAGTTTTATGACATATTTTTCTCAGAGTACACATCTGGTAAGAAGCTTTTCTACAAAAACAGGAACAATTTAGGTACCAAATAGTAAGACTTGGGTAGATGCCACATCTACATCCGTGTTTTATACTGTCCATAAATCTGTGTGCTTATGGGGTGTACTGAAACATTGCAGCAGCTGTGTACTATTGAATGTTTTTAGCTCAGGAAGATGATCTCATGGGTGTTGAACTTATAGCCATAAATAGCAAAGTTTTGTCACCTTATAAAGAACCTGGACTACTGGCAGGGCATATGCAGATGGACTCAGTGGGTTCTCTGGGAAAATAACAACTTTTAAAAGAGCTATGGCCAATATAGTAAGAGATACCAGATAGCAGATGTAAGGTCCAGCTTGCCCAGAATGAAACTTGTTAAGAATATAGTTACTTACTGCTAAGCCCTTATTAATTTAATATTGATTTACAGCTGCTTTATATGTTTGTGAAACTAGCAGATAATTGGTTTTAATGACTCTGTATGTTTCTTTTATAAATGTGTACTAAAAGTCAAGTTGAGATATGAGTATGAACCAGGCCAATGAAAATATTCATTCTTCTGCTTTTCAGGAGAAGATTTTGCTGTTGTGCAGCAGGAAATCATTATGATGAAAGACTGTAAACATCCAAACATTGTTGCTTATTTTGGCAGCTATCTCAGGTACAGTTTGTTTACTTTGCTTACTTAAAAATGCTTCTCTGTCTCCTTGAAAGGACAGGTCCATAGGGTGTCTTTGGATAAACCATACATCACCAAATAAGTATTATCCACTTATAGTTTTTTTCTGTTACTTCAAAATCTGTTCTCTTTAAATAGGTGAATCTCTTAGCAAAACCTTTCAGTGACCCATGTATTTATGTTTCCTTGGAAATGAGTTGTCAGTTAAAAGCTTTGAATTTAATACATAAGTGGAAAATTAAGCAAAAGTATGACGAGTATGAAGAAGGAGTCTATGAATATAGTATATTTGAAATCTGTTTTAGTAAAATGTCTCTTTATGTTTGCAAAACATTAAGAAGTACAAGTATTGCAGAGTACAGAGTTCTCAGAAATGTTCTAACTTAACTGGTGCTGGTATGTAGATTGTCTTGAGAACTCAAAATTGAATGTTAAGGGAAAATAAGGAGGGGAAAAAAGTTGTGGGTGTTTTCCTTGCTTGAGAGTAGTAGTGCTATGTTAAGCTTTAAGGACAATTTTATGCTGAAGTACCTGAGGGTGTAAACCACACAGCCCTTCAAATGCCCACCGGTGATTTGTGTTTTGGATTTGTTTTGAAATCTAAAAAGTATTGATATTTTAGCTCTTTTACCCTTGGTTTTTTTTCTCTCGAGCTGCAGAGTTGCTTAGGACACTTAATGTAGCATATGTAACTTGTTCTGACTCACTATTCTTTTGTATAGTTCCTTTTGTAAGATAATATGCTTACTTGTTATGACTACAGTAAACTCATACTCCATACAATGTCTCAGTATTAAGAACATTGATTGCTGGTTTATAATAACATTTGCTATTATAATTAATTTCAATACATCTTGACAAATGCTTTATGCTAGATATGGCAATTGCTTGATATTCAAGGACTAGGGCTTTTAATGCTGGATTTTGTGAACCAAATGTTTTAGTAATTTTAAGCATATCATGCCATGTAATAAAAAGCTTTTAAAAGGCTCTGAAAAGTCATGATTCTCTTGATGGCAGAGACTTCTTGTTACTTCCAAGTGTGCATGTATCTTCTGTCTGCATGGGAAAAACGGAGTTATAGAATTGTTTTGCTTGGAGAAAACCTCTTAAGACCATTGTGTCCAACTGTTAACCTAACTCTGCAAGTCTGGTGTGAAACTGTATTCCTAAGCAACACATCTATGTGTCTTGAACACCTCCAGGGATGGTGATTCAACCATCTCCCTGGGAAGCCTGTTCCAGTGCCTGATGACCCTTTCAGTGAAGAAGTTTTATCTAATAACTAATATAAATCTGTCATGGCACAACTTTCCCTCTGGTCTATACTACTGGACCTGCAGTTTGTCAGAGATGGACTTGCAGAGGATGTGATTAGCAGCAAAAGGACAATTACAGAGAATCTCTATCCTTTATTGGATGCAGGGGAAAACACAGTGATCAAGGATGAGGAAAAGGCTGAGGTATTAATGCTCCTTTGCCTTGATATTTAGTAGTAGGACCGCAGGAAGACATGGATGGGGAACAGTTTGAACAAATCCCAGAAATACTACTAATCGTATCTCTGTGCTAATCGCAGCAGTGGAACACAATGCTTGAGTCCACTCCAGCTTGCCAAGTTGCAAATGCTTGTCCAAAATAACATTTGAAAGCAATCTGCAGTCATAGAGACTGTCTCTCATTAGAATATTTTACAATAAAAGCATCTGAAACACTAGTAGACATCTTCTGCCTCTCTTAAAAGCCAAAGAGAGAAAAGCAGTGCCTTAGGACAGCCAACAAAAGTGAGGTGAACTAACGAATGGCACAGTCTTCATTTGGATCAGCAGAGTTCCACCAGATCACTGCCATTATGCTTTTCAGGTGTAACCAGGATTCAAGTTCACTTTGGCCTGGTGCAGGAAAGCCACCAGTTCCCAGCAGCAGAGGTCTTCCTGTATTTGTATATGAAAGCATCTGTCTTTCCAAGGCTAACCCCATAGACACCAGAGAGCCAAAACATGTCTGTTGGCTGCTGAGAAAGGCTTCTTCAACACCATTCCCCAAGGAGGAATTCCCACCAACATTCAGAGCTTTTGCAGCAGCAGTTTCACATGCACCTTCAGAAATGGCACTAGAAGAGTCCTTTTCAGCACACCTGGTAATGCCATCCATGCACTTATGGAGATCTTGACTCCATAGCAGCACAATAGTGCCTCCAACACAGAGTACTCTGCAGCAAAAAGACAGGTTAAGTGTTCAGCCTGCCTGGCATTTATTCATCTGTGCAGCACTCAACACTGCTGGCATTTCAGATGTCAGCTGCTTTCAGTAAACCACCTAAGCATGTTCAGGGTCATGGCTCAGCTCAGTAAGCTGTGTCTCCAAAGGGAATTCAAATTCCTTGTTTTCATAACTCTTCCTAAATGAGGTAACTGGGCCCTGTCCTGACTCCCAAACATTTCTGACCTCAGGAGTTCTTTCCATTGGGTTGGCAGGGATGATGGATTCAGTTTTTTCCCTCTCATTATTCTTTCAAGGGTTGAGGGCAACATCACCTTCAAACCCTGCTTTTGGGTCACATGAGCCTCCACCAGTCTGCAAAGCAACAACTTCCCAGGGCAGCAAGAGCTTCTCAGGTAGTTGAGGCAATTCCAAAGCTGGACCTTCCCTTTGGAAATCTTAAAAGCTCTGTCCTTTCCATGTTCCACTGATTCTTAATGACTTTCAGACTCAGGAAACAGAGGAAAATTAACCACTGTTTGCAATCCATTTTCCTTAGCACATGAGCAAACACTACACTGGGCTTTGAAAGAGTGGAAGAAAAAGACTATCCTGGCTCTGTTCACAGCAAGTGGGTTCAACAGTCCTAGTGGTGGGGCTCTCATGGTAATGGTCCCTTCCTCACCTCCACCTCTAAAGGAAATAATGTGCTTAGGATGGTCCAACAGAGCAAGTGAGACCAGAAGACAAGCACAGCCAGGGCAAGCTGACGCAAGATAGCCCTGCCATTCTGTGGAGCTACCTCACCTTCCTTAGCATCTTCCTGCCACATTCTTGCAGTGGGTGAGCAAGGTCAATCATCCATGAAAGACCAGTCCTACAGAAAGGGCTTGTTTTCAGCCAAGAAAAGAAATAAAGGGGCAGATGGTTTGCTGGTTTGCCATCATAGAAATGTGGTGGGACAACTCACCTGACTGGACTGCTGCAACCAATGGCTGCAAGCCCTTCAGAAGGGACAGGCAAGGAAGGAGAGGCAAGGGGGTGCCCTGTGTGTTAGGGAGTGTTGTGAATCCCTAGAACTAAATGGTAGTGACAACAGGGGTGAGTGTTTCTGGGTAAGAATCAAAGGAAAGGCCAATAAAGCAGACACCTTGGTGGAAGTCTTGTAGACCACCCAACCAGGATAAACAGACAGATGAAATATTGTATACACGTCTGAGAGGAATCTCTGAATTGCTGCCCTTGTTCTTGTCAGAGACTTCAACTTGCTGGATGTCAGCTGGAAACCTAGTACAGAAGAGAGGAAATGTTCCCTCTGGTTCCTAGACTGTGTAGAGGGCAACTTCCTGATGCAGCCTTCCTGCTGGACCTGCTGTTTGTCAGAGATGGACTTGCAGAGGGTATGATGGTTGGAGGCCATCTTGGGCATAGCAATCATGAGATGACAGAGTTGTCTGTTGTGGGAGAAGGGGGACAATCAGCAGAGCTGTCACCTTGGGCTTCCAGCAGGCAGGCTTTGAGCTGTTTCAGAGACTGGTTGACAGAGTCCCTTGGGAGCCTGAAGGGCAGAGTAGCTCAGGAAGCCTGGACACTCCTCAAGAAGGAAGTCTTCAAGGTGCAGGAGCAGGCCATCCCCCTGTGCTGAAAGACAAAGCAGCAGGGGAGAAGACTGGGCTGCAACTCAGGGGAAGAAAGGAGGATTTATGGCCTTTGGAAGAAGGGACAGGCCATTCAGGGTGGCTAGAAAGATTTTGTGAGGCTGTGCAGGGAGAAAATGAGAAGGACTGAAACCAACCTGGCTGCCACTGTCAGAGATAACAAGAGATGTTTCTACAATGAGATTAACAGCAAAAGGACAACTCCAGAGGATTTCTATCCTTTATTGGATGCAGGGGAAAATGCAGTGACCAAGGATGAGGAAAAGGCTGAGGTATTAATGCTCCTTTGCCTCAGTCTTTAGCAGTGGGACCAGTAGATACCCAGTCTCTTGAGCAGGAAGACATGGATGGGGAGCAGTTTGAAGCCCCCACAGTCCACGAGGAGATGTTTACCAACCTGCTGCAGCACTTAAGACATTCACAAGTCTATGGGGCCAGATGGAATACACCCAAGGGTACTGAGGGAGCTGGCAGAAGTGCTCAGTAAGCCACTTGCCATCATTTACTAGCAGTCCTGGCTACCTGAGACTAACAACCAGGTGATCAGGCCGTGTCAGCATGGATTCATGAAAGACAGGTCCTGCTTGAGAAACCTCATCTCCTTCTATTACAAGGTGACCTGTTACTGGATGAGGAAAAGGCTGTGGATGTTGTCTATCTAGATTTCTAGTAAAGCCTTTGAGATGTTTCCCACAGCATTCTCCTGGAGAAACTGGCTACATATGGCTTAAACCCCTGTGCTCTTTGCCGGTTAAGAACTGGTTGGCTGGGCCCAAAGATGTGTGGTGAATGGAATTCAATCCAGCTGGTAGGCAGTCATAATGGGAGACGTCATAATGGGAGACCTTGTAGTGTGTCAGGTCATAAAGAGAGACATCATAAATGAAGTTGTCATAATGGGCGGCGTCATAAAGGGAAACATCATAAAAGGAGATGTCATAAAGGGTAATGTTGTAAAGGGTGATGCCGTAAAGGGAGACATCGTAATGGGAAACGTCGTTATGAATGACGTCATAAAGGGAGACCTCCTGATGTGTGAAGTCATAATGGCAGACGTCAAAAGTGAGACGTCATAAAGGGAGACATGATAAAGGGACACGTCATAAGGGGCGATGTCAGAAA